TTAGAGAATGATGACGTTCAGAAATCAAATTGTTGCATATAAATAATATTTACAAATCGAATTGGATTTAATTTAACCAATTAGCAAATTTCAAAAATTTTTTTAAAATTTAACATTTTAAAATCACTCTTAGTCTAATTATTATTAGACAATAAATGGCAATTATCAAATGGAAACCTTTCAGGCTTCAACTTTTAAATGCAAATTTCTTGGATATTAATTAATGCCCATTAATTACGGTGTGAAATCAACAGGTTTGAATCAATGTCCCGTTAATTAGGTTGGCAATTTTCTTATAATAGATAATTGACCATCGTGACATGATACGATTAATTGTTATAACAGTAGGATAGTTCAAAAAAAACGTCTATGCTTATTTCCGTATTTTTATTTTTTATCTTTAACTTTTCTTTCCGGAAAAGTCATTTCCGATTGTCAACATCGTGATAGATTTGAATCATCCGTTTGTGAATTTGAATAGAATGGAATGGAATAGTTTATTAGATGGCTTATTTCTAAAGTTTCGAACAAACTATTTGATAATAGATCATTTATTACTAATATATGATAATCTTTTGATGATGATAATCTATATAAGTGTTTGATGAAGGTTAAAATTATATTTCGAATTCCGGATTACTAATTTCCAGATTTTTTAAATGTACAATTTAATAGAGGATTCATATCGAATATTGAATTTAAATAACGATTTATATCAAATATCAAATTTATAAATGTTTAATTTAATAATTTATTTTATAAATGTTTAATTTATGCTGGATCAGATTATTATTAAGAAAAAAAAAAAAAAACTTCACCATTTGCAAAAAAAGTACTCTTTCCGAATTATATTATAAGGACTAAAATAATATTCGATAAATAATTTTTCACCAATTCTATACATATCTGCTAATGATACTGTATATTTCCAACAACAGTTTACTATCAGTTAATCAATTAATTAAACCAATTAAAAATTAGTCAATCATTTCCAATCAAATTAATGTTCATTTAATTAATCGCTCCGTTTATTTATTCGTAAATATTGTTGTCAAAACATTGTTAATAATAGTTAAATTATTCTTTTCATTTATTATTTCAAAAAACAAAAATTATTCATTTTCAGCTAATTTCACCTCATATAATACTTATCGAATTTTTTCAAAATTTATCAAATTTACACTTCAATTCTATTGAGTATATGCAAAAATTTTGTTTTACTTAAAAATTATAAAAGAAAATTTTCAACGTTTTTTTTTTGGACAAATTACAAATTAATCTCATCATAATTAATTAATCATCATTATCATTGTCATGTTAATTATCAATATCATAATGGTACCACTGGCACAAAATAAAAATAATTTATTCTATAAATTTTGTCATAATTCATTTAACAATGGCAATATTTATTTTATAAAAAATTATGAATCATCTTCACCATCATCTATATGATAATATTAATCATTAACTTCACCAGTATTTGTTATTATTTATCATCATCTTTGTCATAACACTAATTATTATCATCATTGTCATTATCATTATTATTCCTGTCAAAACACAAATCATCATTATTACAATATCAATACTAAGACTAATCGTCACCATCATCATTACTATGATAATCTTAATCGTATAATCGTTATTCTGCAAGCATTTTCTGAAAGCGTTACATTATTCATCATTATCCTTATCATAACACTAATCGTTATCATCATAACCATCATCACCGTTATCATCACCATTATTATTATCACTATCAAAATATTAATCGATAACAATCATGTCCTGATAACAATCATTACTATTATTCTTATCATAATATTAATCATCATCGTTGTTATACTACTAACACTGATACAAAACTTTGTATTCATTTAACAACAGTAATATTTACTGTATGCAATGAAAAATGAAAAACTTTCCGGAAGGAAAAAAAAAAGGCAAAAAACAGACGAAATAAACAACAAAGTAATATAATATGTTTCATTAAACATTTACTTATTTATTTTTTTCCTCGTAAATAAAAACTTTTTTAGAGTAATATGAATTAAATCAAAAAATAAGGAAAGTATTTCTTCTATCAAATCTATGTTAAATACAGTAAACACGCTTACTGTGTTGTTCACTGCATTACATTTAATTTCAAAAATGCATACAGTAAATACATGTAACACAGTAAACATGTGCACATTACGTTAAATAATTTCTTTTCCATTTAATTTCAAATTTTTTTTCAGCATGAAAAGTGTGAAATAGCGCAATACAGCGAACAATACTGTAATTTAGTAAATAATACTGTAATACAGTAAGCAATGTAGTACGGTAAACATATGCATGTTACTTTAAACAATTTTTTACCATTTGATTTCAGATTTTTTTCCAGCATAAAAAGTTTAAAATGATATGCACATTACTTTAAATGAAATGTTTAAAATGAAATATGATGAAATAAACTTTTAGTTTTATTTTTCAATGTTTCGTCTATCAAATCTATATTAAAGCACTTAATACTAAATCTTTCCTTTCATTTTCAGCTTTCTTTTCCTTTTTTTTTTCCACATCTCACAACAATAAAAATAATAATTCCTTATGGAAAAACAAGAAATGGAAAAATCTATCATCAACGATTTCATTTTCTTTTTTCTTTTTCAAGAAGTAAAAATGAATAAATAAAAAAAAAGAAACTCTTTTTAAATTTTTTTTCCCTTTCTCTTTCTTTATAGATTTTCATTTTAAACTTTTTATTATCATAATTTTCAAGTCCTTTCAGTGTTTAACAAGATTTTAAAGAGAACAATTCTTTCAATTAAATTAATTTGATTAATTATTGATATACGTATATATATATATATATATATACTATTTC